AAATTGGGGGGGAAAGGGCAAAGGTTAAAGGTCAGGCAGGGGTCACCCAGACAGGAGTCTCCAGGTGTGGCCCCGCCCCCATCCAGGTGTGTCCCAGGTGTGTCCCCAATGCCCCAGGTGTGTTTGGGTGTGTCCCAGGTGTGTCACACTCACCTTGCAGGTGTCCCCGCCCCCACCCAGGTGTGTCCCCAATGTCCCCAGGTGTCACCCAGGTGTGTTCAGGTGTGTCCCCGATGTCCCCAGGTGTGCACAGGTGTCACTTAGGTATCTCAGGTGTGTCCCAGGTGTGCACAGGTGTGTCCCCAATGTCACCAGGTGTCACCCAGGTGTCACCAGGTGTGTCCCAGATGTCCCCAGGTGTGCCCAAGTGTAACTCAGGTGTGTTCAGGTGTCCCCAGGTGTGTCCCCAATGTCCCCAGGTGTCACCCAGGTGTGTTCACGTGTGTCCCAGACGTCCCCAGGTGTGCACAGGTGTCACTTAGGTATCTCAGGTGTGTCCCAGCTGCACCCAGGTGTGCACAGGTGTGTCCCCAATGTCACCAGGTGTGCCCAAGTGTAACTCAGGTGTACCCAGGTGTGTCCCCAATGTCCCCAGGTGTCACCCAGGTGTGTTTGGGTGTGTTCAGGTGTGTCCCAGGTGTCCCAATCTCACCTTGCAGGTGTCCCCGCCCCCACCCAGGTGTGCACAGGTGTGTCCCCAATGTCCCCAGGTGTGTTTGGGTGTGTCTCAGGTGTGTTTGGGTGTGTCCCACACTCACCTTGCAGGTGTCCCCGCCCCCGCCCAGGTGTCCGGCACACACCATGGCCCATCCCAGCTGTACCCAGCTGTACCCAGGTGTATCCCAGGTGTAACTCAGGTATATCCCAGGTGTGTTTGGGTGTGTCCCAGGTGTACCCAGGTGTGTTTGGGTGTGTCCCAGGTGTATCAGTCTCACCTTGCAGGTGTCCCCGCCCCCGCCCAGGTGTCCGGCACACACCATGGCCCATCCCAGCTGTACCCAGGTGTATCCCAGGTGTATC